CATTTAATTCTTATAATTTATTTTGTAGTTTAGATTTTGCAATTTATTTTGTAGTTAGATTTTAATTTCTTACACTATTCACCTTAAGGCTAGAACCCTCTTGGATTTAGTTTTTCTTTTTGTTTATTTTCATTTTGTTTGATTCGCCTTTAGGCTAGAACCCTCTAGGGAATCACCCTTTTCTAAGAAGTGGGTTCAATTTTAGATTACCCATATCTATAATTGAATCCACCATCTTTAATTTCTTGCATTTTCTTTTATTCTTGAATTTTATTTTTCATTCTTGATTTTTTATTTGTTTCTCGATTTTTTTATTCTTCCTTCTTGCCTTGTTGATCATATTTTTTTTTTACTCACATCCACTCTCAAAAACATTGATTTACACACTATCACGTTCACTCTCATTATCTCTCCACAATCACATTCACTCATCACTCCTATTTGTCACACACACAACATAAGAACCGATTTTATATTTTCTCCTACAAAACACCTTCCTCGTGGATCGATATCTTTATACTATAACTTGACACGGTTGTGCACTTGCAACATTTTTGGTACATAATTATGTCGCATCAGCGTGCTAGAGCTGGCTGTATATAAGTTAGAACTAGGGTAATAGAAGTTTATTCTTGTTATCTATAATTTTGCTTTAGTTCTATCTTTGTAAGTGATAGTTCTAGGACGAATATTTTAATTCTGGCTCATTTTGAGCGCGTCTTCCCAAGAAAATAATATCTCATCACTGCCTTAAGATACACCTGATACTTGCTCCTTTTTAAGACATGTCCTATCACCCCAACAGCGTTCCCATCATATATTCTCATTTAATATAGTATAGTTTAGTTCTATTTCTCCCGATTCTCACGTCGCCGCCATACCTTCATAACCCATTAACTTCTTCTTCTTCCACCAGCATCGGCATACTCTCTAAACCCCCTATTCCAAAACAAACTCTCAAACCCAACTTCTTCAATCTTTGTTAGTAAACATCAAAGATGCATAAGGATTGCGCCTGTGTACATTGCCATGGGTCAGGGCTCCACTCTCGAGATTGCCATCACGGTATTACTGCTCGGGCCCTACCAAGGTTGCTTACCGTCCCTACCACCACCGCCAGCACCATCAGGCATCTCTCTGCTTTCGCCATCTTCAATCTTGAAGCAGGCCGTCGATCCGTCGAGGAGCTCAGAGAGATGTTGGCTTATCGATTCAATCTAACGTCGTGGCCCCATCAAATAAAAAACGCGGCAGGGCATAGCTTCATGGTGCAGTTTCCATTGGACGCCCTACTTGCCCAAGCCATAGAGCTCGGCCTAGTAGACATGGGCACCTTTAGGGGAAGATTCCGCTGTTGGAGGGAAGATCATATGTTAACAACGGTGCCCCAACCTTTTCTTGTATGGATCCGTCTCTTCAATGTACCATATCACCTCTGGAATTATGAATTCTTGCGAACTCTCCTCGCTGGTATTGGTGAATGCATTAAGTGCTCTAGGGACGTCATAAACAATACTAACTTCGAGGACTGCAAAGTGCTCCTCAAGGTTAGGGATTTATCTGACATCCCTAAGAGGCTTGGGTTCCGTTACACATCTCCAGTTGACGGAAACATAATGGAAGGCTACGTCGTCATGCAGGTCCAATGCAGGACGGGTTTGGAGAGGGCTCAGGGATCCACTCGCCTTAACTTAGGGCCACAGCCTGCGCAGCCTATTAGTTATGATCCAGAGTTACAGAAGGTTAGCTGGGACGGTAGGCACATAACTGTGGATAGAGAACAGTGGCAGCGCTTTCTCCAAAACCAAGGAATTTGGCGGCGGCTCACCCCACCGTTAAATCTTCTCAGCCAGGAAACGCTTCAGGCTCGCAAAGTGGATCATCAAAGTCCAGCTCTCCATTATCCACGCGCGAAAAGCTTAAGAGAACTAGTAGTGATAAAGTTTTATCAGACATTTACTGCTCAAGCGAGGGAAGCAACAAATGAGGATCCAGCTTCTTTCTTCTCCGCAACACCGCATGAAGATAGTTTCTGTCAAATTTTGCTGCTGTAATGGAAGGAAACTATTTGTTGATAGTTATAAATCATTGTTAAAAATCGTTGCAAGGTGTGGACGGTAGTTATAAATCGTTGTTATAAACGTACTTCACAGTCATGTTTTTATAAATCGTTGTTAATTCTATTTACAATCATTATATCGAATGAAATGTTATTTCTAGATGCTATCGTACTAGTTGTAGTATCCCTCGAGCGTGTTATAGCTGCTACAAATGTTAATTCTGGCTACAATGTTGTTTCTAACCGCTACTTTTTAATGAATGCTCCTACGTTAGTTCTAGCTTCTATCCCACTAGTTCTAGCTTGTATACATCCAGTTCTAGCCCACAACTTACTAGTTCTAAACACAGCCCGTGTTTTTTTGATGCTAAGTTGTTATTTCTGGGTTCCAAGTTAGTTCTAGCTCCTATCCCACTAGTTCTAGCTTGTATATAGCCAGTTCTAGCCCACATCATACCAGTTCTAAATCCAGCCTTAGTTTTTTTCATGCAAAGTTGTTATTTCTGGGCTCCAAGTTAGTTCTAACTTCTATCCCACTAGTTATAGCTTATATACATCCAGTTCTAGCCCACAACTTGCTAGTTCTAAACACAGCCCGTGTTTTTTTAAGTTAAGTTGTTATTTCTGGGTTCCACGTTAGTTCTAGCTTCTATCCCACTAGTTCTAGCTTGTATACATCCAGTTCTAGCCCACAAGTTGCTAGTTCTAAACTCAGCCCACAGTTTTTTGATGCTAAGTTATTATTTCTGGGTTTCACGTTAGTTCTAGCTCCTATCCTACTAGTTCTAGCTTGTATATAGCAGTTCTAGCCCACATCTTACCAGTTCTAAACCCAGCCCTAGTTTTTTTCATGCAAAGTTGTTATTTCTAGGTTCCAAGTTAGTTCTAGCTTCTATCCCACTAGTTCTAGCTTGTATATAGCCAGTTCTAGCCCATAACTTGCTAGTTCTAAACCCAGCCCTTATTTATTTCATCCTAAGTTGTTATTTCTGGGTTCCAAGTTAGTTCTAGCATATATCCTACTAGTTCTAGCTTGTATATAGCCAGTTCTAGCCCACATCCTACCATTTCTAAACTCAGCCCGCGTTTTTTTATGCTTAGTTGTTATTTCTGGGTTCCACATTAGTTCTAGCTTCTATCCCACTAGTTCTAGCTTATATACATCCAGTTCTAACCTACAACTTGCTAGTTCTAAACCCAGCCCACGTTTTTTTGATGCTAAGTTGTTATTTCTGGGTTCCACGTTAGTTCTAGCTTCTATCCCACTAGTTCTAGCTTGTATATAGCCAGTTCTAGCCTACATCTTACCAGTTCTAAACCCAGCCCGCGTTTTTTTCATGCTAAGTTGTTATTTATGGGTTCCACGTTAGTTCTAGCTTCTATCTCACTAGTTCTAGCTTGTATACAGTCAGTTCTAGCCCATAACTTGTCAGTTCTAAACCCAGCCCGCATTTTTTTGATGCTAAGTTGTTATTTCTGGGTTCCAAGTTAGTTCTAGCTTCTATCACACTAGTTCTACCTTGTATATAGCCAGTTCTAGCCCACATCATTCCAGTTCTAAACCCAGCCCGCGTTTTTTTGATGCTAAGTTGTTATTTCTGGGTTCTACTTTAGTTCTAGCTTCTATCCCACTTGTTCTAGCTTGTATACAGTCAGTTCTAGCCCACAACTTGCCAGTTAAACCCAGCCCGTGTTTTTTTGATGTTAAGTTTTTATTTCTGGGTTCCACGTTAGTTCTAGCTTCTATCCCACTAGTGCTAGTTTGTATATAGCCAGTTCTAGCCCACATCTTACCAGTTATAAACCCAGCCCGTGTTTTTTCATGCTAAGTTGTTATTTCTGGGTTACACGTTAGTTCTAACTTCTATCCCACTAGTTTTAGCTTGTATACAGCCAGTTCTAGCCCACAACTTACTAGTTCTAAACTCAGCCCTTGTTTTTTCATGCTAAGTTATTATTTCTGGGTTCCACGTTAGTTCTAGCTTCTATCCCACTAGTTCTAGCTTGTATAGAGCCAGTTCTAGCCCACATCATACCAGTTCTAAACCCAGCCTGCTTTTTTTTATGCTAAGTTGTTATTTCTGGGTTACACGTTAGTTTTAGCTTCTATCCCACTAGTTCTAGCTTGTATACCGTAAGTTCTAACCCACAACTTGCTAGTTCTAAACCCAGCCCTAGTTTTTTCATGCAAAGTTGTTATTTCTGGGTTCCAAGTTAGTTCTAGCTTCTATCCCACTAGTTCTAGGTTGTATTTAGCCAGTTCTAGCCCACATCATACCAGTTCTAAACCCATCTAACGTTTTTTTTCATGATAAGTTGTTATTTCTGGGTTCCACGTTAGTTCTAGCTTTCATCTCATTAGTTCTAGCTTGTATACAGCCAGTTCTAGCCCACATATTGCTAGTTCTAAACTCAGCCCGCTTTTTTTCATGCTATGTTGTTAATTCCGGTTCCATGTTAGTTCTAGCTTCTATCTCACCAGTTCTAGCTTGTATACAGCCAGTTCTAGCCCACATCTTACTTATTCTTAACCATGCCCTCGTTTTTTTTATGCTAAGTTGTTAATTCTAGGTTCAACATTAGTTTTAGCTTCTATCACACTAGTTCTAGCTTGTATACATCCAGTTCTAGCCTACACCGTGCTAGTTCTAAAACCAGCCTTCGTATTTTACCCGCGCAGTTTTTATTTTTGCTGTCGTGTTATTTCTAGCTTAGTCAATGTTTGTTCTAGCTGCTGTGGTTTTAGTTCTAGATGCTGTCGTGTCTGTTCTATCTTAGCCATTGTCAGATCTATTTGTTCTCGTGTAGTTCTAATACTTACAACATTTTTGCTAGTGGAGATGATGCTAGTTCTCATCGCACATGAAAATACTTTCAACATTAAACAAAACGTACTAGTTTGTAAATATACAAGCAAAACAGTTAACAACATATCAAATACTTAGTCAGCAATAGATTCATTACATGTTTTATGGTTGTGACCTTCCACATGACATCGAGAGCATTTAAGTGGCCGGGTGTAAACTGTTCTGTTGTTGATACGCCTGGTCTTATTTCTTCCTTTTCTTTTTGTTGTTAATGGTGGTAGGATCTGTATCTCCTCCCGTGGTACGCTACGCTTCTCGTAATCGGGGATGGGGTAGAGGATTGGCTCGTAGCTCTTTTTAAAAGCTTCAACCGTCATAAACCAGTCACAGAATTGGTAAACATCCCTCTTCATAAACATAATGGTTGCACATGCATGTTTGCAAGGGATACGGGTTACATCCCACGCGCGGCACGTGCATGTTTTATTGTCAAGATCCACTTTACAAGTTTTATGAGATTGTACCTCAAATAATCTTGTATGAGACTGACGCACATCCAATGGACGCCCATTTTCCATGTTCTCTTTGAGGACAAGTTCAGCTTTGGGACAAAGAAATCCATTCCAACTTTCAGCCATTAATCGTCGCTCATTCATGCGAACCATAATCTGTTTACGTATGTGTTCTACGAGTTGTAGTATCCGTAGAAGCCTAGCCTCATGTATCCATTTGTTGAATGACTCTGCAACATTTGATGTAACGTGACCATATCTGGAACATAACAGGGAATTCATCAAAAATACTGAGTTATTTGTCATGTCAGTTCTAGCTGAGTAGTTCTTAGTGAAAGCTTCTATCGTGATAGTTCTAGATGGTACCCAGTTAGTTCTAGCTCCAGGTAATTGGGTTATTACCCATGTTCTATTACAAGTGCTGGGTATATCGCCTATGTTAGTTCCGACTAGGTTATAGTTAGTTCCAGTATATCCATTCATGTCTAATTTAGTTAGGCAAACAACTAACTGAAATAAGAAATGACATAGCTTATAAATTACCTAATTCTGGGGGAAAATACGTTAGCCCAGTTCTCTGGAGCGTAGTTCATGACAATATTGTAGGCTCGTTCGTCCGCCAGTCTAATGTCCTCCACATAGTCATTCCATTATGTTTTAGTATATTTGTAACAAGCAGATTGCAGAAGGTTGCCCAAAATCTGAGTATCCTTTGCCTTGAAACCCAAATCCCGCAACTTTGTCCTAAAATTCTCAACTAGATGCAGAACACATCTAGAGTGTATAGCATCCGAAAAATATTCTCTGACTGCTTCTCTGATCCCCTTATCCGCATCAGATATTATAACTAGCTTGTGTAGAGGGTTGTATGGATCTGGCCTTTCATAGAGAATAGACCATAAACCTATAAATATTTGTAGTTAACATATTTGAAGTTAGAGTTAACAACGAATGAGTTAGAACTAGCATGAATTCTAGTAGAACTAACATGACCCGAACTAACCTTGTAAGAACCAATTCTAGTTTACAGTATTTTCCTGATCGCAGATGCAATAGGCTAATGGAAATATCCCCTGATTTCCATCGTATGCAACGGCGCTGAGGAGTATACCTTTGAAACGATCTTTCAGAAAGGTACCATCCAAAAATATAAGTGGTCTATAACCATTCAAAAACACATTTATGCAGGCGGCATAACAGATGAATGGCTTTGAAAACCTCCCCTCATTTTGTTCAACATGAATGTAGCTACCTGAGTTTGTCTTCTTAACCTCTTCTACATACCTAGACCATTGAAGATTATATGTTAGGATCAACATAAATGAAATTAGTGTCTATATTATAGATATTATCTTCTTTTACCATCGTAATTGATCGTAGGACTCATGGGCATCACCATATAGTTACTCTTGTGCTCTTTCTTTACCCCACCATATCTTGCTATAATCGACCCTAAGCCTATACGAAGTTAGTAACTCCTTTTGTACGTCGATAGGTTGTAAATCTGGTCGGACCTTTAACGTGGGTAATACTTGGGTCGCAATGAATTGTCGTGACGCCCTAGATTGACATGCATTATTGCCAAAATTCCCACATGTGTGGTTGTCCACGAAGGTTTTGATTTCAAGTCTGTTCTCATTTTGTGTTGGAGAGGCAAATAACATCCACGGGCAATTTTGGGCTTCCTTGAACCGACAAAAGACTCGAATACGCTTCGGTTCATTCTTAGCAAACAAGTACTCGAATTTTTTGGCCATGGAATAGTATAGTAAAGCCAATCTTAATTCCTTCGCACTCTCAAACCGTTGTCCCTCACCGGTTAAAGCAGTGTTCCACCAAGCAGAAATCCTCTCTGATCTTCTAATCATGTCATCAATCATCGGAACATTATCTCCAGAAGGATTATCATTGGGGATCCTATCTGAAACACATGTGGGCGTCGACAACGGCGGGCCACCCTCTATGCTTTTTGAGTTCATACTGCTAGTAGCGCTGCAAATTTAAAGAACATGAACAAATGATCATAAACTATACAATAGAAACATCAACAAATAACACAAATAAGGAAAGGGCAAAAAAATATCAACTGCTTGTGTTATAACTATCGTGGAATCCAATTGAACTAACAAGATTTCATTTAGAACTAACATGAAAACGTTTAGACCGAACATGAAGTCACTTAGAACTAACATGTTGGACCTAACACAGTTTGAACTAGAACTCATAGCAAATCGATTAGCACTAACAATAAGTCTATTGGAACTAACAACTAATAGATTATACTTAACAATAAATCTATTAGAACCGACATTAACTGATATTACATGAATTAACGTGGTACCTAGAATTAACAACTTAGCATGAAAAAAATACGGGCTGGGTTTAGAACTAGCAAGTTGTGGGCTCGAACTGGATGTATACAAGCTAGAACTAGGGTAATAGAAACTAGAACTAACATAATAGCTAGATTTAACAAGTTTTTATTTAAAAATGCTGGCTGAGATTAGAACTAGCAAGTTGTGGGCTAGAACTGGTTGTATACAAGCTAGAACTAGTGAGATAGAAGCTAGAGCTAACGTAGAAGCTAGAATTTACAAGTTTGCATTAAAAAACGCGGGCTGGGTTTAGAACTAGCAAGTTGTGGGCTAGAACTGGCTGTATACAAGCTAGAACTAGGGTAATAGAAGCTAGAACTAACGTAGAAGCGAGAATTATTAAGTTTGAATTAAAAAACGATGGATGGGTTTATAACTACAAGTTGTGGGCTAGAACTAGCAAATCTATTAGAATCTGAGCTATAATCCAATGAACTAACATTAACTGATATTACATGAATATTGGTCTTAGCATCAAAAAAATCCTTGCCCCTACATGTCATCTCAAACTTGAACAGCGTTGTGGACTTTTGAAGAATCCTCTTTTTCCTTGAAAGCTTGCATGTGAACCTCCTTTAATCCTCTGTTATGGCAATGCTCCACCATAGACGACAGATCCCCCTCGTTCTCAATAGGAAATTTGAAGCTTCCGTTCGTTTCATCTTTGAATGACAAACTTAATGATTCATATGGAAGATCTAACCTATCTGACACATCAAATTTTAGATCAAGAATGGTGGTTGAAGTGTTAATCTTCATGAATACTGCTCTATCACCCGAAGCTACGATGCAGGTGATGTCCTTTTCAGGCATTATGAAGTGGAGGGAAGAGTAATGGAGAGAATTTTGATCTGAGGAAGAGTAATGGAGAGAATTTTGGTCTAAGGAAGAGTAATGGATAACTAGATATTTATTGCTCATGATAGACTGAAAAAGGGGGGAAATTTCCCTCCATTTTTTACAATTTTTTGCATTTAATGGGATGTGACGAAGAGTAATGACAAAGCGTCTGGGGACGAAGGAGAAGGGCAAAGTCGGGTTTTTTCAAAATACAATGCCTCTGTCTGTATACAGCTGACGTGAAGGGCCCTAGAAATATTAAAGGCTGCTTTTTGGGGCTTATACACAAGGGGGAAAATACAATGAGCCTCGTCACATGATTTTTCAGCTTTTGGTGCCCCGACACATTTTTCCCTTCTTTTTTTTTCTCTAACTTTAACTAATTTTTTGACACTCACGAGAAAGTTCTTTCTTTTCTATTTTCATTCCTTTCCTTCACACATTTTGAATAGATTAATAAACACTGAGAAAATATTAAGCAAATAGATATTATAACTATATTTTTCTTATTAAAGCTCTAGAATTTCTTTCTTGTTAAATCACCAAGACAATCACTCAGTGCACAAATTATAGAGATTTTTTACAACCGGGGATGTAAAGGATCTGTAGACCAATCAATGGAGACTAAAGACGGTAGATATGTCTACTGAACACGTACACCGATTCCTTAGACAAGAAACCAAGTAGATGACAAACA